GCTGCTGGGCGCGCGGGGCCGCGCGGCGCCGCCGCCGGGGCACAGCTTCCGCAGGGTGACCCTCACCAAGCCCACCTTCTGCCACGGCTGCACCGACTTCATCTGGGGGCTCGCGGGCTACCAGTGCGACGGTGAGTGGCGAGCGGGGCCGCCCGGGGCCGCGGCGCACCCGGGAGAGCGGGGGTCCCGCCGGTAGCCCCTGGCGTTCGGCGTTTATTTGAGTATCCACATACGTGTGTGCGTTTTACATATATACACGCGCGTATTTATGCACATATTACGATATGTATGTAATGCCCATATGTCCATTATGTCCAAAATGTCCTGTATGTTCATTTGTATGCGTCCATATATGTGTAGAATATGTGCATCACGTATATTTCTTCACATATAGAAATATATTTGTATACATTTATACGCATATATAGGTGTGTGTATGTATTTGTATATGTTGTATATACATATTTGTGTATATATGCTTGTGTATATATATTTCTGCATAAATATATACATATATACACACACACACAGTCCTATATGCTTGTTGGGGGAGAGCAGAGGATTCCAGGATGTAAGTGACATTTGGATACATATACACACAGAAATATATTTATGTGTCTGTGTGTGTTTATTATAACGTATAAATGCACACATGAGCATATATGTTTACCTATATATCTGTATAGTTGGCCCAGGCGACCCCCAGGGTCCCTTTTCCAGGATGGTAACATGAGTGGCTACTCTGTGACATTGATCCTGCTTCTTTTTTATTTTTAATTAATATTTAGTATATATATACACTCAGTGTTTTTTCAGCTTCTGAGTGACTTGGAGGCTTGTCCAGACATGGGGGAAAAATGGTGTAAAAATGGCAGGGTTTCTGTATGTGCGTGATCCTGTGTTCACGCTGCAAGTAGAAACAATAATTCAAAAATAAATAAAAACCCGAATGTGTGAGGTCTTGGTAGGGAATGGGGAGCGCCGAGTCGTTGCTGGCAGCGCGGCTGGGAGCGAAACCGATTTGGTGTGTAAATGCCCTTTTTTGGAAGCAGCGGGGTGAGTTAGCTGCGCCTTGGTCAGGTATTGCTGTGGTTCCGTGTCTTTGGGCTTTGTGTTCTCCAGCGGGATTTGGAAAACGGCTCCGGGCTCCGTAGGCGCCGAAGCTCCCGTTCCTCTCACTGCGGTTCGGCGGTTCAGGATGAGGCGTGGATGCCGGGTCGGAGCGATGTTCCTGCTATAAATCTCTGCCGTGGGAGCGCCGCTGTGGGGTCTGCTTAGCAAGGCTGCTCCAAGGTGTCCCTGGAGCATCCCCGGGCACGTCTGGAGTTGGGACATCCCATTAAACTGAGCGGATGCCCAAGGGGCAGGAGCCAGATGGGAACAAGTGTGATGCCCCGACAGAGGCTCAGTTTAGACCTGGGAATTAAACCAACGGGGACATAATTCCCTTAGGAATATAAGTCTTTTTTTCTGGCAAGATTGGCTTGCTTTTGATATATTTTAATCAAAGAATAAAAACTGCAAGGGGGCGAAGCTGCACGTGGATTTTACTTCTATCCCACTTAACAACACTTACGCATGTTCCCTGTCAATAGCGAGGCCTTTCCGTACAAAAGCAGATGGGTTTGATGTTGGGATGCACCTGGACTTGGCTGTTTGAGGCCCCGCTGGGTGCGTGTGGCTTTGTGGCATTTAAAACTGAGACTGCAGCAGGTGACTCTGAATTCATCTGGGTACAAGTGCAAAGAGTGTTTAAAGAAAGTTGGGGATACATGTTTGGGCTGGCACAGTGAAAGATGCTGCTTATTTGCTCGTCTGGATTTAAAAATAATCTAATTTGTGTTGCCGAAAACTTACACATTTCCCCTTGCCCTTCTAGCAGTACTTGAGGGAAAAATATCATAGTCACCGTGAGTGGCGAGGTAAGGAAATGATAGGGATTTTTGAATATAAGAGGAGAGCTTTTGCAGCTGGAAGATTTATTTCGTGTTGACAGTGTTCTCCTGGATTTGAGTCCAAGAGCTAAGTCAGGTGGGAAAAACTTGCCACAGAAAGTGCTAAAGCAAGAAACCCAATACCAGGTTTTGCTTAGCACTCTTAAATATCATCTGTGTTTTTGCTGGAAGCTGACTTGGTGGTGAATGGCAGAGGCAATAAAGGAGGTGCTGATAATTCATCATGCAGGAGAGTGGATGAGAGCCGCTGCTTGTTACGCACGGGTTTTCATTTCAGCTGATCTCTCCTCTAATCCTGCTCTCCCTCCCATTTGACTTTCATTTGAATGTTTTTGTTAAATAATCTGGGCTAATGATTAGGCTTAGTATCCTGAGGTGTTCCACTTGAAACGACTCCCTTAAACAACGTATCTGCGTTGGTATTTGTGTTATAATGAGGAAGTTTGTCATGATGTAGGATTTTTTAATTTTATTTGCCTTCAAACAAAGAGCATTTTTTAGCTAAGCGCACACACTGCTCTTGAGCAGGAGAATATGCACTGAGGGCTTTGTGCAGTGCCATGCAGGATGACAGGCAGGTTTTTAGTTCACAGTCTCCTCCTGGAAGTTTTTAACAGATGTTTCTGTGGACTTTTAGGCTGCTCTGAATTCCAAGCACAAAGATAAGGAGTCTTCCTAAATTGTCTCCAGTGCTTTCTCTTCTGGGCAAGCTCCCTGTGGCTTCTCTCTTTTCTCCTCTTCTGTTACTGCTTTGGTTACCTGCTCTTTATAGCTCCTCCATACTGTTGTTTTTCCCACTTTCTATCCTGCCATAAACCTGATACTTTTCCCGATTCGGAGCCCTTTCCTCAGGTGGCAGCTTCTTTCCATCTCCTCTTTGAATTGAATTGTCCCTGGATGACCCTTGCTATGTGTTAATGTCATGTTCTCCATCCTATTTTGTTTCTAACCTGTTTCATCACCTCAGAGCTTTCCCTTCTTGCTCATTAAGTCTTTGCCAAGCTGGCTCACAGTCCGTGTTTGTCTCAATATATATTTATACCTGTGTGTGTATACATATATATAAAATCAGGATTTGCTATGTATATCAAGACACATACATGCACACTCCTCCAAAGTCTGTGTTTTTGTATATAATCAAGAAGAGTATGCATGCTTGTAATTTGTGTGTGTAGTTGTTATTTTTTCCCCATTTTTAAATGGAGCACGAACAAATTATTTGGATGTATATTCACTATTGTAAATGCACTGCACTGATCATATTCACCTGCTTGACTTCTTAAATGCCACTGGTGTGATATCATCATGCTACTTGCTGTGTAAAAAAAAGAATAAAATAACTTTGCTTAACATATTCAGTAAGGTGAGGAAAACATGACTGCAGTTGACCACAGTGAGTCCCTGGAGGTTTTCCACGCAGTGAAATTTTAGAGGCATTCTGGTTACTTTTCAACACAGAGGTGTTTGGGTAATGCTGAGAGGTTTGCGTTCCTGGTGTTAAGGAAGAAGCTCCTGTTACGTAGGGCAGTGTTAGATTGCGGTAACTGGAGAACAGGACTTCCACTCTAAGCGTAAGAATCTGTAGAAGAAAAAGAAATCTCTGTTCCCAACTGCATTTCTCTTTCAGAATGTGTCATGCTTTAATGTCCTGGTTCCTTGTGATGTAATTCAGGAAATGACTCGGTCCTTTCTCTACGGTTCTCGTGCTGCATAAGCATCTCGTGGAGATAAGAAGTGGTGCACCTTGTTGACCGGTGTGCGTAAGCACGTCCTGCTGACCAGACTTCTGAATGCTCTGCAGGAAAATACTTCCTCAGCACTGAAATTGCGGCATGATGAGGTGTTTCAAAAGAAGGTGGAGGAATGCTTGGAAATTGCTAAGATTCCTTCAAGCGTTAGGGGGCGTGAGGGAAAGATCTGAATTTAGGGTGAAAAATGCCAGTCCTTTTGGAGCCAGTGGAAGTTCTGTTTTCAGAATAAAAATGGCTTTTGTGAGATGAGAAAGTGTTTCGGTTGTGGGGCCTGCTTTTTCTTCCAGAAGTCACTGAAGATGCCAGTGTAAACGTAAATAGTTGCAAATACATATTTGCCTGAGAAGCTGGTTTTGGCTTCATCCACTGCAAGAAGGCAGCATTAGACTTCAGACCAAAGCGTGGCTAAACAGTTTGATTCAGGGAAAACACCTTTTCAAAACCTTAAAGCATTGCAAGCATTTGGAAAAGGTGGCTATCCTGGATGTTCACAGGTACTCAGAGAATGTAGAAAGTCTTCAGGAGGGTTCTGTGGGTTGATGCCTGGCATCTAGAGGAGCACAGAAGTGCCCGGGCGCTATATGGGGACAGCTGTGCCCAGCCTGTGGGCATGTGAGCTGCGTGCCACATAGCCCTGTCCGTTTTGGGGGAGCTGTCCTTGAAGGCAATGACAGCCCTTCAGAAAAGCTCTTGCAACACTTCTGCCTGCAAGGGATTATTCTGAAACAAAGCGCTCGTCCAGGGACCAAGGCGAATTTTCCTATCGGCAGGAAAATAGATGTCAGCTGTGCTCGGTCTCCAGTAGACTCTTGGAGTCGTCGCTTGTGTGTGTGTGCCAATAAACTGGATATTAGAAGGAGATGTACTCAATGTGTCTAGTTTTGCAGCTTCCCTTGCCCTCGGGGTACAGGAGAATGCCAAGAGGGTAAGGTATTTTGGGGAAGGAACAAGTAAACAAAGGGCTTTTCCTTTTGGCGTCGCTTGGAAGGAGAAACCCGGAGTGATCTTGTGCCGATGGGAATTACTGTGACCACCCTCCAAATGGGGTTGGAGGGAGTGTAGGGCTGCCCCTGCTTGCATCCCGCTGTGGTGCTCAATAAAAGGGCACTACCAAGCTCACCATGCCTCATACACCCAGTGAAAAGGAAGGATCCCATGAGGATGAAAATACCCCTTAAATACAGCTAAGTCCCATCGTGTCTGTGCTGGTGTTCACCTCTCTTGTTCTGTTTCTCTTACCTTCGTTTTGCTCCAGAACAGCTCCTGTTTTGGCAAATGTCTCGGCATTTGTTGAAGCTGTTTCATTTTTCAATCCAGAATTCTTTCTTCAGTAGGAGTAAATAAATAATTTGAGAAATAATCTACTTCAGATATCTGTCTACTGTTTTCCAGTCTGGAAAGGCAATGAAGATATTCTAAGCCTAT